GGTGGGAAGGGGAAAAAGAAATATATATGTGTAGAGTCGGGAGAAGGATGCAGAAGTTGAGGGAAACTAGCGGTGTGGAAGAGTAGGAGGAAGAAGTAGGTCTAATTTAAGAGGGAAGTGGGATGAAGAGGAAAACGCAAACGCAAATTGTCAGGAGGTCCTCACTTATTTCACTGGTCATGGCAAGTTCGAACCATCCTACGAACCTCAATGGTCGACTCTCTGGGGACGTGGGGTAGCATCGGATTTTCCTACTCCTCTATAGTGCTTTGTTTGTGAGCGGGCGAGCAAGGCAGTCACGATTATGCTCATCGGACTCGGCGTGGGATGAGAGATGGCAGGAATGTTAGTTGAGGCTAATTTAGGTAAGACCCCATGACCCGAGGGGAAGGTGCGTGCTAACCCAACGTTTTTGCCCTCGAAAAAGTACCTTTCCATCCATCCTTCCCTTTTTTGCTATGGGGACTTGAGAAGTTACGTCGTTCATCGTCTCATGCTGCTGGGGGAAGCCCCGCCTGGCAGGTCAACGGCGTGGCATCAGAAGCTTGTTTTGCATGTTTCTTTCGCCTTTGGACCCCAGATCCTCTGAGATACGGGCTCAAGCCACAAACGTCTTTGGTAGGCCAAATCGCGGCGAAGTGCAGGGGTTGGACGGCACTGCACAACCAGAAGTGCTGTCGGGTTTCCTTAGCCTGCTTCATCACGAGCTAGCCGGCGAGGTGGGTTGCTTGTGTGCCTTCAACCCTGGTCTGGGGTTGTCAAGTGAGCATACAGTTTTGCCTTCGCCCTGTGTGATTGAAGGATTCAGCTCCCAGAAATGGACCAATTACCAGATGTTACTATTCCTTGGTTGTAATGCTGATCACCTCCACCACCTCGTAGCGCATGGAGTACTGAGAACCGAATGCATGGAGGTGCGTATTGTCTAAGTCGCGGAAGGCTGCATGTAAGATCGGAAAAAAATCGAGGCCCCTAAGAGGTAGGGACGATGCAAGTGAGACTGTTCACTGCACGCAATCAACGGTGAATATGTCTAGTCTAACTAGGTAGCCAGCCTGTTAACCAAATAGCGACGGTATCCTGCAGATGAAGCCCAGAATAATGAAAGTTAGCTCCTCATGATTCACCAGGTCGTTGAGAAAGAGCTCATAGCTTCCCTTCCTTCCCGCTCCCGTCTTAATTCCATGCGGGGTAGCTTCTACACCATGGCAAGTGGCTTGGCGTGTTCCCGACGTGCCGCCATTGTGCGTCCCCTATGCCTGCCACGTCCAATGGGAGCCTGTCGCAGGTTGAGGGTAGCTGACGTCATGGCGCCATTGACCTCATCCACCCTTCCAAAACAGAAGGGCCGATACCAAGGTCAAGGATGGACGCAATGAGACGAAAGGCAGAGTGGGAGAGGAGAATCGACAGTCCTTAGCTAAACTGAGACAAGGACTTCAATTGGCAATTAACAGTTACGATGCTTAGAAGTCGCGACTCGCGAGAGCCGCAACCAGGCAACTGCTCCTGCCGTTCTCTGAAGACCGCAGCCGTTTTTTTAGGCAAAGGCCGAGGTCGGCCGAAACATTTGGCAGGCACAATGGAGCCTCAGCTCGTCCTTTCGGCCATTTTGCAAATGCGGCTGTCTTAAACTCTCAATATGCAACTTCGTTGAAAGTTTCGGGAAAAGTTACCTAACATATTCGGACCGTCGCTTGCATCCGGCTCCGGTGTAAGATGGCTCGGTCCAATGGCCCCCACGGGCCACCAGATGCTATTCCATCAGACCATGGTGCCTTCTGTCGAAAAAGTCGGTGTTAGCTGCGCGCACGGTGCAGCGCCCACCTGGCAATCATCAAGTCCGTCTTCACCCATCTATTCAGCTGGATGCAGAGTCATGGCAGATCGGAGGCAGAATGCGCGAGGAGAGGGAAGTGGTGGATTGTTAGTATGCCCTCTTATTGTGTGCAAACCAGTATAGCACAGCCTTGGGAACTTGATTAGGCATCTCCACATAACCAAGTAGGATAGGTACTAAATTAATAAACCGCAGAGCTCTCCTTTTGTAGGAGCTTCGTTGTTTCGCAAGGCGGTCAAACAATGAACACGCCCGGGCTTGCCAGGCTTGCCACACACGAACAAGTGTTGGTGGTGGGTAAGCGTTACAATAAGATCTGCTGCAACGTAACAGAGAACCAAAACTAGGGCTCCAATTCGCAGCTTTGGGTAGTACAAGCTCGTGTCTAAAGGCTGGTTGCAGGTTTGGGGGCTGCATTTTCATTGGGAGCTTGAAGACCCAGAGAGTGAGAGAGCCAGACTGCTTGGAGATGGATGCAAGTCAGGCGGAATTGTCGCGGAAATTGCTGGTGGAGCTCTTGCCTTCCATATTGCCAAGTGTTTGGGGCCGCTCCCGACAGCTGCTAGCGGCTGCCATCGACCAATCCCAGCAAGTATGGACAGGTAAATTGGTCACATGCTCTCGCTCCCGCGTGCTTCGATAAGCTAACGGCAGGCGCGTCTCCCAAATCTTTAGAATGCCTCTGGCGATCAATTGCGTTCCACGCGTTCTCGTTCAATTGAATCTGGCCCCATTTTGTCTCATTACCAAAAGGTTCCGCATCAGTATGGCGCCTGCGAAACAATCCGCAACGTCCCTAGCAGCGTCCGCGAAGGGCACAAATAAAAGGCGACCAACCGATAATCCTGACCGCTCCATTTCCCCCCCACCGTTAAAGCGCAAGGCCCAGAGCGCCATTTCAAGTACGGTACAAAGCTCCTCAATGTTTTGACACACGTCAAACGTGCTAACAATCCGCGTCTGCAGAATCCGCCGTCGCGAGTTTCTTCACCCCCACCTCCCAGAAACCCAAAGACCGCACGACATGGACTGAGAGAAGCCCCAACGACGATACGCCTGCCACCCTCCTCGTCGCTAAATATACCCCCGAGGAGGCAGATCAAACCGTCACAGCTCGGCCTCCAGTCAAGAGGCGCAAAATAGCAGCGTTTGACCTTGTATGTCGTCTGCGCGCGACCTGTCATTCTCCCCCACAGATACTGACATTCCCTCTCGAACCGTAGGACTCAACACTCATCACCAGCGCCTCGGGAAAGGTGCATGCCGGCGACGCAGTTGACTGGAAGTGGTGGCACCATTCTGTCTCCGACCGCCTGAGGCAGCTCTACAACGATGAAGGGCAAGTCAATCCTCCTTCCTCCCTCCACCTCGCCCCCTTGCCGCCTCCAACCTCACCCCCGTCCACCCCCCTCCACCCCCTCCAACGTATCATCTGACACCACCCAACCAGATACCTCGTCACAATCTTCACCAACCAAGGCGGCCTCACCCTACACCCCGACCCGAAATCCAAAGCCCCGAAATCCATCTCCGCCCGCCTCCCCTCCTTCAAGCAGAAATGCAGTACCGTCCTCAACCAACTCAACATCCCTATAACCCTCTACGCCGCGACAGGCAAGGACATATTCCGCAAGCCACGGATGGGCATGTGGTCCGAGCTGAAGGACGACTACGACCTAGCCGAAGAGGACATCGATAGGGAACATAGCATATTCGTGGGTGACGCAGGCGGGCGAACAATCACTGGCAGTAGCTCTAGCCACGCGCCCAAGGACTTTAGCTGTTCGGACCGGAACCTGGCTGAGAATATTGGGATCAAATACCAGACGCCGGAGGAGTTTTTTCTCGGGGAGGAGCCGAGGGTGTGGCAGAGGGATTTTGATTTGAAGGACTTTCCGTTCCCTGTGGAGGAGGAAGATGAGATCAGGTTTGGGAAGAAAAACGATAAGGAGGTAGTGTTGTTTGTTGGGTCGCCCGGGGCGGGGAAGAGTACATTCTTTTGGAAGCATCTGAAGGAGTTGGGATATAAGAGGGTTAATCAGGATACGTTGAAGAGGTTTGTCTTGTTGCTTTCTTTTTCCGGCATATATGTCTCGATGGGACTGAACAATTTATGGATGAAATGCTGACTGGTCGCACAGCAAGGAGAAGTGCATCAAGGCGGCGGCTGACTATCTGGAGGAGGGAGATTCGGTGGTAGTTGGTAAATCTCCTTATCTTTCCCCCCTTACAGGGAGCCAGCCATAAGATGCTTGAACAAGATCCTAACCCTGTGCTTCTTCAGACAACACGAACCCGGACCCCGATATCCGCGCCCAGTGGATACAGTTCGCTGCAAAACACAAGGTGCCCATCCGCTGTGTTTGGTTCAAGACGCCGGTTCGGCTCTGCGAGCATAATGATGCCGTACGGTCGATGAGCAAAGCGGTAGGTTACATGTTTCCACCACATATATCGAAATTTAGAACTGATATTTTGGTTAAGATGAATCCTGAGTCTCGCCAAGCGCTACCCAAGCTTGCGTTCAATTTCTTTGCAGCGAGATTCAAGGAACCCAAAGTTAAAGAAGGATTTCAAGATATCTTCGAGGTCGAGTTCCGATTCAGGGGGACGAGGGAAGAGTATGATATTTGGGGAAGGTATTGGCTTTGAGTTAATGTTTCTCTAGCTGTGGACCGCTTCTTTACCGATGCACTATCTACATTAATGGCAAATATGATATCCGGTTCTGTGAAATTATTCCAGGGCACTGTCCATGTTGCTAGAGTGGCTTACTGGACTTTGCGCCTTCCATCTATGTGTTTGTAGATGCTGCGTTTATTTCTTGAATGGTCCATATGTTTTAAATATGTGAACAGATGTCCAACTTCAGATGTCCATATTGTCGTCTTCTAGACCAGAACTGCTAGAAGTTATTATCAGACCAGGATCCAAAAGTTGTCTCGTTTTTACTATTCCATTTATATGATATATTTTTCTTGAAACCTGTGTGCTATTTTTATTCAGAAAACTAGATTTTAATGCCTCGAGGTACTACATAATCATTCTCATGAAAGCTAACTCTGATCTGAGAAATTGCTGAAGTTGTGAACTGGAGAGAGTTGGGATCATGCCTGCGCGCCCTGAAGGATATCAACACATGTGTTTATCCACTTTGCAAGCCTTTATAGCTCAGTGGTAGAGCGCGTCACTCGTAGGAATCGGATTCCACTTTGCGAAATGACGAGGTCCACGGTTCAATCCCGTGTGGAGGCAAGCTTCATTAGCTTTTTGTACCGGGATGATTCCATGTTTATCCGCATCAACCTTTTTAGTATGTTGCTTATTTATTTGTAAAGAAACTTCAGAGATTTTAAAAAGGCTAGTAGGGAAGAAAGGGGTGAGTGAGTAAGTAATGGTTTTAGGTACTCATCGTTCTTTGTTATTCCATAACCGTTTCAGCTGAACTACACTCCCACCCATCCGCTTAATTTACAGTCACAACCCTTACCACTCAACCTATTCCTACACATCTTCCATCCCCCCACCCTTAATACATCACAACTCAATAACAGGCCCCTTATACTCCCTCCTCCCCCCCACAAAATACCACACCGCCGCAAATAACATGACCCCCCCAAACGTCAGCACATTAAAGTTCATCGTCTCCGGCCCCGTCACCGGCGTCGCCGGCGGCCAGAACGACCAGAACCACAGCAGCGCCAGATACGCGCACGCGACCGCATTATTCACAATGCCAAACACGCCTGGGATGCGCCAGGGCCCCCAGTGCAGGCTGTCGGGCCGCAGCGTGACTGACAGGTCTGAGCTGTAGGGCTTGATGCCACCGCTCTGCAGGCGCCGCCAGAGGAGCAGCAGACAGCTGATGAGGTAGGACGAGTAGAGGCCGGCGGTGCTGAGGTTGACGATGTTGTTGAAGGCGACGGTGGAGCCGAGGGTGATGAGGGAGAGGAGGACGGAGATGGTGGTGGTGAGGGCGATGGTGTAGATGGGGATGGAGGTGCGGTGGTCGAGCTGCGGTGGGTTGTTAGTCTTTTTGTGTTTAGGTGAGAGAGAAGGGAGGAAGTAGGTAGGTGGGTACCTTGATGAACTGCCTCCAGAAAGGAACACCGCGATCGCGTGCAAAAGACCATAGCATCCGCGAGGTAGATGCCAGGACACCAACTGTGCTGCAGATTCCGAGCACGACGATGATCAAGCTCATGACGACGGCGCCTGCGGTCGAGCCTGTGCCGGTTTGGAAGACATAGAGGAAGGGGAAGCCGAGGGTGCTTTGCGATGCCAGGACGTCGTCGAGATTACCGAGGCAGAAGAGGTAGGCTAGGAGCATGGCGAATCCTAGGATGCCGTTTAGGATGATGCTGGACAGAATGGCGTGTGGGACGACGGTGGATGCGTTCTTGATCTCTTCTGACATCTGTGTGGGTAGCACATTACGGTTAGCAAATGGATGTAGGCGTGCGGTGGTGGAGGAGGGCGTAGAAGGTCTCTTACGTGGACAGCGGAGTCAGCGCCGATGAGAGCAAACACCGAGGTCGGCAGGCCCACCATAAATGACAGACCCTGCGTGGACCAGCCGCCTTCGTTGACAAAAGTGGTAAAGATGGAGGCATCACCGTGCGGCGCGAGGTAAACCAGCGGGATCAGAATCCCAAAGAAGCCCAGGATGTGCAGTACGAGGATCAAGCCTTCAAAGTGGGCGAGGGTTTTGCTGGCAACTGTGTTGATGAAGACGGCAAAGGCAAGAATGGCCCAGAGGAAGAGCATCGTCTGCCATGGTTCGGGGGTGTAGTCTCCCTTGGCGAGGATGATGACACTTTGAAGCAGTGATCCGATGAGGAACGCGGCTGAGGCTGTCACGGCTTGCCAGCCGGTCAGGGTCATCCATCCTAAAAGAAAGTTAGTTATAGTTAGAAGATGCCACAGGACTGGCTGAGAGCGAGTTGAGTAACTGACCGGTGATGTAGCTCAGAAAGTTGCGCGAGTTTGCAGGAGCAAGCAGTGAAACCCAACTGTGTTGATGTCAGCTTCACAGAACAACTCAGGCTGAGAAAAGGGTTAAGTCTGTTATTGCTTACTGATACTGGCCACCTGCCGTAGGTGCCCTGTTGTAACATTTCTGTCAGTGAGAGCTCTTGATGGTTTATGAGGTTGAGTTGGTTCAGCTGCTTACATTGACGCGAGTTCCGATAAAACCGCAAAGGTACAGATGGTGCCAAACCATACGACCAAATATCCCCAGATGACGCCTGCTGGGCCACCGCTGGTTGGAGTTAGCTCATGCCTAAACTCAAAGAGGTTACACAAGTACTATTGTGCGTGACCACAGAGAGAGGTCTTTACTTCAGAAGATTCTGGGTTGAGACACTGCTTCACGTTAGCGTATGATGCCTTGGACATGAGTTTGTTACTCTTAGGTCTAATAACGGGTACAAACATGAGCAGCCCCTCCCATGTAATCAGCACAGTACACGAAAAGCCTAGAATGGACATGAAGCCAAAGTTTCGCTTCTCGAGTTATCAGTGACAATATCCAAGCGACATAGTTTCCATATGAAAGGGGTCGTACCTTCAACACTGGAATCTTGCCCAGTCGAATCAAGTCCCTTTCATCCCGTGTGTACCCGTCGGTGTCAGCATCGTGAACGGAGGCGTCCGCGTCTTTGGACGCGCTCCCCGCTCGACTGTGAAGTTCCATGTTTCCTACAGACATAGCCTCACCCTCTCTCTCTCTCTCTCTCGATGAAGAGCAGAGACAAGCAAAAGTGGCTGTATCCCGCAATGCCAAGAGTTCACGAGAAGATGTCTTTTTTGATCAGATGTTGAGGTCGGTGGTTACAACCCAAGACGTGTTGGCGATTGAGATGGTTGGTGGACTGAGCACATGGCGATCGTGGATGGATATCACTGCAGGACTGAGCACAAAGCTCCTTCTGCAATGCATCCCTGTGCATCGAAAGCAACCCAGCAATTTAACACTGGTGGCGTGTTGTCGAAAAGGAGGGGGCGTTTCAATACCAAAATGGTAGAAAACACATGGTCTGGAACACATCTCCCTGCTAATATGTTTCTTTTGCTGGGATCCGTGGGACAGACCCCTAACGAAAAGTGCAGCAGAAACATTGCGCGGAAAAGACGAGGAGTTTTCTCAGAAACGGCAAGTCGCCCGCTGAAGGTCCTCGCCAACTGCATATAACTCGGCTAGGCCGGCATGCTGGGCCACATAGGTGCACCGGCCCGTGCCCTTTTAGCGTGACAGGAGCACAAACCACCCTTATCTCACATGCTCTCGTTGCACGTTCGGCGGGGTCACTTCAGTTAGGTATCTTCTCTCCTGTTAGCTGCCTCTGAAGCAAAGCTACATCCAATGTCACAATCGTGTAAAACTTAGGTGGCCTATCGGATCCATTTGCTTGGGTGCAAATGCAACTTGGTGGCGTACTAAAACAGGGTGGTACTCAACAGCCACCGCAGCTTGTCGGGACTTTGGGCAGCCGTCTATCCGCTTCCTAGCAGCCCTTGGCAAAAGCTTCGCAAGTGTTAAGCGAAGTGCCTACCGTGCTTGGCAAGGCTTAGCAAATGCTTAGCATTTCCAAGCAGCAGACAGCGACGACAATCGTCGTGATTTTGTTTCCAAGGACCAAAGTGCAATGCTTACCTCCTACCGTAAACTTGCAGGCCTACACCGGGTATTGATCTCCGAACTGGGATCAAGGTGAATCACAGAACAGTCCATGTCGCTATCCACTGTTAAGTTCCAGTCGGCGAGTTTCTTCGCATCCCAAAACCACAATGTGAGACCGACATGAGAAAAACCACGAACCTGGATATATCATCACAAAATATTGGTGATCAAATCCATCGAATCCCACCTGCTTTTCTACCTGCCTAATATGGGCTGTCACTCCATAAGTCTCAACATCCTGAAGTTGTTTATCTAGAAAGATGACTGGAGAATGTCCAAACAAGAGCTCCACTACGAAGCAGCTCCACTACGAAGCAGCTCCACTACTAAGCAGCCCCGTGGTCGCCATTCCGACTCTTCCAGCGAGCTTCTCGAGTTCCTTCCCCAACTTGAAGTGACACCGAAGCAACTGCAGCCGCATCGCATCTTCTGGTTCAGTGCTTCACACCTTTGAGCTCTGACACACACATTGAGAAATGTCGATCGGCCGACAGGTTGTGGATGGCCACAATGCAGCGCCAGTCGTCCAAGTCCTCATCTGGCTCTGTCTTTGCTTCTCCGTGCTGTCTGTTGGCGCCCAGCTGGCCACCAAACAAGCCCTATCCCGAAAGCTTGGAGCCGGTGACGCGGTCCTGCTTGTCGCTCTCGTAAGCCAGCAATCCACACAGATCGATGCTATTCCCACACTTCTGGTGAAGATCGGCATCGCTAATCAACAGCACCATCCATGACCAGATACTCTGTACCGCCCAGTTTGCAACGCTGTTGAGCTTGGCAGGCCAAAGACTTGGACAATCGTCTGCCGATCTCCCGCAAGATGGAGTTTACCATGCTCTCCAGGTCAGAACTCAATCTTTCGCAACATACCTTGGTCCCAGCGCCATGGATGCTAACAACACAACGCTCCACCACAGGCACTGTACGGCTCCGAGATTCTCAACATCTTTGCCCTCGTCGCCACCAAATCGGCCGTGTTCATTGCCCTACGAGTCATCACACCCAAGAAATCACACCGAATCACTATACATGCAGCGGGTTTAATCACTATATTATGGGGCATCAGCGCTATATTCGCCATCGCATTCCAGTGCTCAGCACCCGACAGGTGGAACCTGCTGGACCGATCAAAATGTGTCGATGTTGTCAGTACCAACCTCGAACCTCCCTGTTACGGTCTATGGAATCTAACAAGACCTTACTGCAGACTGCAATTAGGACTTACAATGCCGTCATGAACATCCTCACCGACGCTGCGCTGGTCGTCATCCCGTCCATCATTGTCTTGCCAGTCCAAATGTCGTGGGGCAAGCGTTTCACAATCCTCGGGGGTTTCTGGACTCGTCTCCTGTAAGTTCGTTCTACGTCTATCCGTCATTGTCCGTTCACACTTCACAGTACCACCACATACTGACAACTACCTACCCACAGCGCCATCGGAGCCTCCATCGTCCAAATCGTCTTCATCCGACAGCTCTTTACCACCGATGAAGACTTTCTATATGGCGTGTATCGGGAGGTCATCAGTATGGAACTCGTGCAGACCGTCGGCATCATGACGGCGTGTGTTCCG